CACTACAGCCTACAAAGTACCGTATTTAAAATATAACCTCCCCCCATATGAGTCTGATAAGAGAAACTTAAAAAAGCAATTTTTATGATAAACTGACGTCTTACAATATATTCATGTCAGTTTTGTGTCACAGCTTCTCTTTGGGACGGATTTGCAGATTCCAGATATTCCGGAAACTGCCGCAATAAAAATAATCGTATTCAGTTCAGTAGCTGTCATAAGCATGGGGACCGTTCTCGGTAAGCTGAATGACTCCATGAGGTCTGGAAACTAGCTTCCCCCATAGGGTTGCCACCCATCCACCACCACGGATTTTGGTCGTTCTTTTTAGGCAATGAAATACACTCAAAGAATGACCTGCGCCTTCAGCCAATCAAACTTCATGACAAGGCGCTACACACGCGTTGTGTAGTTGGTGACTATTGTCACATGTGCACTGCCACCATGTTCAAAGATTAGGTTAGTTTTTTTTTTTTTTACTAATTCGCAAAAGTATTGCAGACTAAAATTTGTGCAGTTTGTGTTTTAACTAAGGTAGCATAAGTAAAATGTAACAAGTACAGGCTACTTGTTACAATACATTTTAGTAGAATAAGGTACCGCATTAGAGTAAAAATATTAATGCATTCAAAATACTGTAGATTACGTGTAGGATTATAATTTCTCTATCAAACAGACCTAAACGAACCATTGGAATGGTGTCGCTATGTGCAATTTTTTTTGGTTTTGCTTTTAGCAAACAAGCTGTTTTTGAAACCAAACTCAAAAGCACACAAAACAAAAGGGACCGCGAAAGGGTCAAAACGAAAGCAGGGGGGGGGTTAGGCGAGAATAAACAGGGGCTGAGACTACACACAAGGAAAACCACCTGCAATGATCACAGACAAACCAGCAGCTAATGCCTACAATGACCAAGAAGGAACAGGGCAAAGACTGGGACATATATACTGTACACAGGTAACCAGGACTAAACAAGAAACCGGTGCGGGCCATTGACAATCAACCAAACAATAGGGCTGGGAATAATAAGGAACAGGTGTGGGTCCTAAATCACTGAACACTAAGGGTAGCCGGCCACACCTGCTCAAACGGAGAAACAACCAAGAGGACAGGGCAGGGACTGATCCTGATAGACTGAGAGTCCAGGAATGTTACGGGATTGGTGGCAACGCTATTCACCCAGGGAAGGTGTGGTTTACTAGGAGGGCATTTGCAGGGCTGTTTTTTTTTTTTGTCTCTGAGCACCTCCTTCTACTAACTGTGAATCCACTGTGGGTAGGAGCAGTACCTAGTTTAGACTGGTAGCAGTACAGATTTGCAACAGTCCAACTGCTATGAGGGGACTTTTAAAGTTTTGAGAGATTTCCTCATATGCTACAAGCTTGTCTACATAAAATTCCACATTGATTTGAAATTAGATCCGTGTGTAGATCCTTGTGATGTGATGCCACTGATTTAACATAATATGCCTGTTGAGGTTTCTTTTGCATAATAATCGCCGGACTACTTGAAACGCAAGGAAACCAAGATCGAGTCGTCACGCCAGCTTGCACTCCTCAGTGAGTGCTTTCTGTTGCCAAAGCCGTAATTAAAATCATCTCCAGCGGTCTGTTACGCACCCTGTTATGTATCTATTCCCTTTTTTCCAACACTGTAACATGAGCCTTGTAAGTGATGTATAGATAATGACCCCAGCTAATGGAGAGTCCATTGACAATAACCTGGGAAGTCCGTGGATTTTGGCAGGACGTGACTCAGTGATTTAGCGAAATGTCAAACCCATATTTTGATGAATGAATCTTTGGTGGAAAAGCTTAGATGCTGCACATGCGCAATTAGTAATACTTAACTGAAGTTTTGTACTGTTTCGGAGGGTTTGTTTGTAGTGTAGTCATTACCAGATGTCAACAATGTTGCCAATTCTGACAGACATTTTGAACAAAATGCATTTCTTTTGTTTTACCATGGGCATGGTGCTTAAAAACTTAGCCTCCGCAGTTATTTTTCTCAATCAAAACATATTACTAGGTGAGTGGACCCATTGGACCCCAATGCAAAATTGACCAAATGGGGTTCCCTCTCTCCAGCTTGGCAAATTTTACTGAGCAAACCACCACCACCCCCCCTATGGATACATTTGACAGATCCTTGCTTTTGTCAAATGTGTAGTTGTTACTACACATTTGACAATATAGAAATAAACTATATCATCTTGCAAGTACAAGGCCATTGATTGTTCTTTTATAATGGAATTTTGAAGTATGAATTATAAGTGTCCATGTTCATTTCCAACGCATGAAACTACAGCAGGCTGTTTGGTTGGTATTGGTATCACTGATTACACTGGTGATTACACTGGTGATTACACTGGCTGCGCTATAAGCTAAACCATAACTGATTCTGACCACCAGGCCGATTGTCATCGCTCTGGTCTCCAGCACTCAAAAACGCACTCCACCTCCTGTCCTTCTAACCTCCAGCCCTGACCACTGCCTACCCCCCCCACCACAGATACAGAGTGGACACTCGCCTGTCCATGGGTTCAAATGCATGCTGTCAGGGGTGTGGCTGGGGGGTTGGGAGGGGCTGCTCACACCTGCCCCGGACTTCCTCTGCAACAGTTAGAAGCAGATATCTCAGCCTCGGCCATGTAGCTGAGTAGCTGTCATCCCGAAGTCCTGCTTCTTAGTTCTTTGTCCAAAAAAAAAACAAAAATGCTTTGCCATCCTGTGAGGCGATTCTGCCGTTACAAAAAGCAAAAATCAGAACTTCTTCTTCAGCTCACGTATAAAGTTATGGATGCTTGACGAATTTCGGCTCTGGCACCCAGGAGAGTGTAAATTTTAATGTAGGTCAGAGCTGCTCTTTGAAGTCGCGCTCATGCATTGGAGATGCGCTTTTGTCTCCAGTCTCAGGTTCCTGGGTCTGACAGGCCCACAGCAGTAGTGCTAAGCGTGTCCCCCCCCCCCCAGCGTGCCACCCACGCCTGCTGGCATGCAGACCTGCATTACAGCCACCCCCAGGTCCCCCACCTCACTCTATGGCTGCCAGCCACTAGCCGTGTAACTTTCTGAGGTCACTCCCCACACCGAATGCAGAGCTTGACAGACAGAGGGCACTCCCACCCCCCCAAGGTCTTCTATGTTCTGTGCTGGTGTTGTTAGCAGTGTTCAAACTAAGGAGGATTGGGGGGGGGTAAGCCCTATAAGGGATAAATACGATTCAGTGTCGCACATCCCCTCAGTCAACAACATATGTTATCACCCCCGACCGCCCAAGATCTCTGACACAATTCAAACACTTGGTACTATATACAGTCAGATAGGTGCTTCAGTGTCAAATCACACATGATCATCCTCACAGGGGGCGCCGATGAGCCCCTGGTGCAGCCCTAACCACCTGACCTGTGGCTCTGGGGTGGAGAAGAGCCCAGAACAGCCTGGTGGCTCTAGTGATGAGGGGGGTGCCTTTCGAGTGGAGCTCTGATCCGCACTCCCAAGCCCAACCCGCCCCCCGCCCTGGAGACTGTCAGCGCTTGAATTTGACCTTTGTTTCTTCTTGTTCTGTCACAGGACCAGAACATAAAAGCAAAGCTGGGTGCCATAAAAACGAAGCTGACTGTCACATCATCAGCTGGGCCCCTGAGATGCACAGGAGCCTGTGGGAAGGGTCACTGGGTGGGTGTGGGGGGGGGGGGTGTTGGGGGCGATGTCTGTGAAAGGGTTATTGAATATTTATTGACGTTTTCAAATATGGTGCGAGAAAGTTCTTCTCACATGAGTTAATTACTATCTGTCGCCCTTATCCTGCTTTAAGTCATCAGTCCAGTCAGTTCACGGGCTCCATCACCACACCTGACTATCAAAAAGCCTTTTGACCAAAACAGCCAGATGACACAAGATCACATCTGCTGCCCCTACTGGCCGGGTGGAGCGGCACACCTCCGGAGCGACTGGCCCCGTCACGCAGCGGCTGATCTACACAGCCCTCAGATAAAAAAAGGCGGCTCTGATACGGTTCTGCATCTGCTAGGAGAGTCGTTACCCTGTAGCCTGGTTACAGGGGCACTGGTGGGTCTCTCCAGGTTGGTGGATGTGCTGCTGTGCTACAGGCCATCTCGGGCTGTGTCCCACCTGGGCGTTGATCCGACTCGGCCTGGGTGGATCCCAGCCTGCCAGCCGCCGCTGCTCCTCCCTCGCTGTCGGCGTATTCCTGTGTAGTTTTTGGACAGTAGGGGGCACTGCCTGCCCACTTTTCCTCTCTGCATCTGTGGGAAATGTCTCCCCCCCCCATGCCTGACCTGTCCTGTCCCACCTGTGTGCAGAACACACATCAGTAACTGTTTACTCTGATTCACGCATCATGCAGATGTATATTTGCTAGTTACCTGGCCCTCTGGGCAATCTGGCCTGTGCCCACACGCCACCATGGCAGAACCACCTGAGACCAGCATCTAGTCTACAGACCACACTTAGTCCTCTCATCAGAAACTGTATTTGGGTGTGGCAGACCAGGAGGAGGGGGAAAAAAAAAAGACACCTTTTTTTGGATGAGAAATCACACGAACCTTATGAACAACTCAAACTGTTTAGTAACCAGAACAATGACTGGTTAGGCCTAGTAATAATCCATAAGCCACCACCCTAAACACCCCCAGCACAGCACGGCCTGAGGGGGACACGGTGCGACGCTGCTCTTCAGAAAAGCCATCCAGTCTGCATACATTAAGAAAAAAAAAAAATTTTTTTGTCCTTTTAGTTTTTGCCTTTTATAAGGCAAACCATGATTGTATTCTTGGAATCGTTTGACCATTTAGCACTGAATATCTATCTGCCTTTTCCTTTCATTTGTATTTCAATGCTTTTGTAGTTCAGTCTCTGTTCCTTGACCTAACCTGCCTTGTACAGCACTTTTGCTCTGCCAACATGTTTGACTTTGAAAGTGTGAAACAAACTGACTGAAGGCATATTCTTTTTGCATTTCAGTTACAATTCAAGTGCTATTTTCTTCCAAAATCTTTATTGATTTATCACAGCTGAACATAAGACAATTCTCTTTTTCAAAAAAAGGCTATTGCACCGGATCGAGGCACCATGTGAGAGCATAACATCTGTAAAGATCCCAGCCAACGATCTCGGATTTCACCCCCACTGCTGGAGCCACACACATTGCTATATTACCCAGCAGTTGATCAAAGGAAACCATCCGAAAGCTGCACATGGGTGGGAGGAGCAATCAAATCTGCAAATGTTCAATAAAACTCCCAAAAGACATTCACTGCTATAAATCGAGTTGTCTGTCAAGCTACCACCAGGAGGCAGCGTAGCTCAGGCTAAAATGACATAGGTGGCATCAGTGGTGACGCCACAGTTGTTGTCCTTCATGGACATGAGTATATAGCCATCGTTGCCCCAGTATGTTGACCATGAGTTCTTCACCAGCCAGTAGGGGTCGCCATTCAAGACACCATAGCCAACCGCAAGCACTGCATGGTCCAAGTCTTCAGTCTTGTTTCCTGAGCAAAACAGACACTAATCAGTTTCACACACGCACGCACACACCCACACACATGCACACACACACACACACACACACACACACACACACACACACACACACACACACGCAAGCCTCTTACCACAAGCAGGCTCGTAGTAAACCCCGTGGCTATAGAAGACGAAGGAGCGGTGACTAGCGTCGATGCTGACCGCCACCGGTCCCTGCTTGAACAGCGCCACCTTGAGGGCGTCGGCATCACCGGACGTCACGTTGACATATCCTTGCACGCGTGCGGTCATCTCAGACTCATTGTAGTGACACATTCCATTCTAAGGCACACACAGGTCAGAGTTGGCACACCTTATCTACCAGTTATATTCCAGAACATTCCCACAGCCAGAGCGCACTGGGCTGGCTTTGTGGAGGACAGTGCTGTGGGCACTCGGGCAGACGCACCATGCCCATGTACGCGCCGTAGCTCTCGGCTGTGGCAATGCCACCGTGTTTCATCATCCACTCGAAGGCCCGCCACTCTTCACCACCGTCACAGCCATTGTTGCCGAAGCCCCAGGTGCAGTCGACCAGCATCTGCTGCGAGAGTCTCACCAGTGTGCCAGCCTGCGGGCAAAATGCATGCATCAAAAGGGGTTCAGCCAACAAGATCACGCCACCCACAATGCCATGGTCTCCACAGACCGTAACCCTTTAATCATAATCCAAAGGCTTATGGCATTTAGTTATTCGCTAAACAATCCAGTCAGGCAGACATCAAGACTATTAGCATTAAATGAGTCATAAAAAGTAGAACAAAGAAACGCTGAAATTGCAAGATTTTTTCTACGTCACAAAAGGAAGCAAACTCAGGGGAGCCAAGGATGTCCCAAATATAGTTTTGGTTTCTTTACAGCAGCATATTGAGGCCCCAACTGAAGATTCCCACAATTCAGGTCCTGGAGGACCAGTCTGCGGCAGTGTGCAGAGTCCCCTGCTCGTACAGGGGTAGGACAATGAAACTGAAGCACTGGCCAAAAATAGTGTTTGAGGTTTCACACCTTTATATGCGCAGCCTGCCTGTTGGCCGATCAGTAAGAGCAGAGTGTGACGATTGAATTAGCAGAGCAATAGCACAGCAGAACATGAAATCTTGCAATCCACACAACATAAAGGATATACCGAGTTCAGTAGAGGCCAAAGTGTTGATGTGCGTCTCGCTGGAGCATCCGTGACCAGGACAGCGAGTCTTTGTGGTGAGAGCCACAGTATCCGTGGTGGTACCCTGAAGGATGGACCTCATCTAACAGGAGTAACTGGCTGCAAGAGCAAGCCGTCTGAAAGGGATGTCCGGGAACCAACCCGAATTGTATCAAAAAAAAAAAAAACCCACCACAGCTGCCCGACTCACTGCAGAATTAAATGCACACCTCGACTCCACAGGGTCAATATTCATGGTCAGGCTGTTCAGCCAAACCTTTGGTCACTTGTGCCAATGCTAAATGACCGTTTCAATGGTGCCAGCAGTGCAAATCGTGGGAGTGACAATGAGAAACATTTGTTGATCTCTGACAAGTCAAATTTCACCGTCTTTCCCACATCCGGGAGAGAGTTACATGTGCAAAGCACCAAGAGGACCTGCTGCGTACTCAGAGTGCAGCACAGGGGTGGATCAGTGACGGTTTGGGTCGCAATATCATGCCAATCCCTAGACCCACTACTTCGAGATGGATGCATCACTGCCAAGGACTACCAAACCATTCTGGAGGACCATGTTCACCCAGCAGTTCAAACATTGTACTGAAGGTGGTGCTGTGCATATGGATAATGCACCAATACACACAGTAAGACTGGTGACAGAGTGGTTTGAAGAACATGAGTGAAGCTGAACATCTCCCATGGTCTGCAGTCACCAGATCTGAATATTGAGCCACTTTGGGGTGTTTGAGGAGCGAGTCTGGAAACCTTTTCCTCCACCAGCACCATAGTGACCAGGCCACTGTTCTGCAAAACTTGCATGTCATACGAGATGAACTGATGCTGTATTGGCTGCAAAAGGAGGCTCCAATCTATACCAAAATTATGGTCTGAAACCAGGAGTTAGTTAATTGTCCAGTCCCTGTATCTTATTTCAGCTCACCATCCAATCGCCAGGTTTATTGGGCACGTCTGAGCAGGGAAATCTGCAAACTGATGCAGACTGGGCCTGCAGGACCAGAAGTGAGACTCCTGCTCTACACCAACCTACACTAAACGGAGCGTGCTTACCTTCACAAAGAGAGCGCCCTCTACTGCACCAGTGGAGGCAAAGCTCCAGCAGGAGCCACAGATAGCCTGGTCCTTCACAGGGGTGACCGCTCCTGGGGGGGCAATGGACAGGTTATGAGGGGCAGATGGGGGGCTTCAGAACTTAACCTGTCAAAAAGCACTACATTAAAAATGACTGGTACAGGGGTGAACTAAAACTTGGACAAAGAAAGACTATAAAGCACAGCAGTGTAACGCTGTCAATTTTCCTGACGACATCTTTACCGTACAGCCTCCAGTCCAAAGTATCAGGAACCTGCACATTGGCATACAGCTGCTGTGGGAAAGGGAGCCCCCTGTTGGGCGTCTGGCCGCCTCTGCGGCCTCTCAGGATGGCCAGCTCTGCCTGGGATTGGTCCGCCAGGTGGTTCAGGGTCAGGCGATAGGACAACCCAGCGCGATTCATGGAGTGGACGAAACTGCAGGGGTGGGGGGGGGGCAGGCAAAAAATTATTAATTTAAGAGGCCCACTACTGAACAGTCCCTAGTCCAGTCAGGACTGAGGGGCAACAGAAGCTAAATAAGGTAACTAAGGATCAAAATCCACAACTACAGTCAGAGCCAGACCTACAGCAGGACCTTTGTCATCACAACTACAGATCTTTAGTTACATCTAACCAGCTACAGCAAAAGAAAGGGACTTATCCCTAGGCGTGTCACCATACACAAGTCACGGCTCATTATAAACATTGGTTTTGGGTTCATGCGTGGTGCAGTTTTGGTACAGCAGGGAAGAACAGAATTTGCTCGACTGTTGTACACACACACAGATGATATCTCCTCAAATGAGGTAGCACACTGGATGTGTCCATCAACATACCAGAGTTTGGCATAACAGCTGACAGGCAGTCTTGGTCATGACTACCCTCTCTCCAGTACTGGTGCACGAATCGGGTAACCAGAAAGTGGGCAAATCACCAAATGACAACCAGCATCAGCCGTAACCAATCCACAGCTACAATTAGCATAACGTTCAGTATCTCCTGGGAAGCTTTAGGTCCCACTTACTGGGACACTGCATCTATTCATTAGTCTCATTATGCCAAACGGCACAAATCAATGCACAGTCAAAGCCCTACTTGCCACATAAATGCTGACCAACATGTACAAGAACTGGTACACTTCCTCTTAAAGGGAAGAGACAGCCTAGCATCTGTCATAGAACCAGCCTAGATACACACAGACTTTATAACCAATACATCCCCAGAGGCCAGAGCGCTGATTTTGCCACTGACAAGAATGTCAGACAAGCAAATACTATTGTAACTTCTGGGTTCAGGAAGCAAAAAAAAATCTGCCAGTCATTCAGGACAGTTAGACTACTAGAATCATCTCTCATCTGAACAGACCTACTGTCATGGAGGAGCTTGCAGTGACAAACCGCTGACTCAGCATAGCATTTGACAGCACAGCATGTGCAGTGGTTTTCACCCAACTGGCTGGGTGGGGCAGAGACATTCGATGCCGGTTATTGGCAAGAATAAATGAGCCCCACCCACCGGACATTGTGCACAAACGAACTCTCCCGCCGCTCGTGCTCCCACTCGTCTCCATACTGGTGCTGGAACTTTCCCTTGAAGTGCACGAAGAGCCGGTGAGCATGTCCCCGGGGTTTGGTATGGAGGAGGTCCTGGATGGGGTTGGCCAGGAGGTGATGCTCCACTCCAGGGCCAGGAAAAGAGCCACAGGTCAGGCCTAGAATCAAAGAGACGACAAGCAGAGACAAACACTCAGACTGATGAATATGGGAGCCACTACAGTGAGCACAAGACCATGTATGAAGTCAATCTACATGGTGCACAACAGTGTATACAGTCACAAGTGACATTTGCGGTTTCGGTTATCAAGTTGCAAAGAACAATAAGACAGGAATATTTAGTTTGGCAAAAATACACACAGTAAGTCCCTCGGACATTTGCGAGGTTACGTTCCAGAACCCGTCGCAAATGAGGAGGATTCGCGGATGTTTGGTAGAGTCACTAAAAAAGGTAATGTGCTTATTTCTATAGTTTAAACCCAAAATATGCTCCTAAAATTAAAATTTAATATTGATTTATTTTTAAATAAACATTAAAAAAGTTGCTTAATACATTACTTTTAAAAACCCTTTCAGTTTATAGCAAACGCGTCTTGAAGTTAAAACCCAGGACGCATTTGCTATGTATGTAAACATTAGCACCTCAAGAAATTCATAATTTTTTAATGTTGGAATTCACATTAACGTGTACTTATTACAAAATAATTTATTTTGTAATATTTATGTAACCATTAGCGTTCCTGTCACGCATTGCCGGGCACAGACAGGACGTAAGGAATCAAGGAACACGGGGTTTAGTCAAAAGATAAAAAGACATGCAGGACAACGGAACAGGCAGCAAACTCAATGACATTAATGACCGGACTTGGGAAACAAAATTAAATCGCATGACTAACGACAGCAACTAGATACAGTGCTGATCACGCGGGGATTCCACACGAGGTAGATGAGGGGGCGCGGCACACGGGAGGATCGGACAAGCAGGTCACGACAGCTGCAGAGGGAATAAACTTTGCGAATGGGATTAGCATCTTGTAAAGGTACAGTACAGCATGTACAAAAAGGAACTGATGTGTGAAGAAAAAAAAAAGTCACGGATGCAAAAGTTGATTCATCTCACGGCTCTATAAATTTGTGAATCACGAATGCACGAGGGCTTACTGTAAATACAAAATAAATTTGGTTCACAAAATAAATCTGGGATATACTTTGTAGTATGAATGCATACTATAGCCAAGATATTTTGGTTTAATGATTCAAATCTGCAGGGATCTTCCTACCCTAACCCTCAAACTTGAAGGGCCGACAGATTGTGATACAAGGTGCCATGTGCATCGTGAACTATGGTCTGAGCACTGAAATGTAATGGGAAGGTTGGAGACACCTTCGGGCAGGGAGAAGGCATGAGAGTCAACACTGTGGCTGAACTCCACGTAATCCACCAGGTACTTGTCGTAGTGGGAGCCCAGCAGGGTGTTGTAGCCCATCATCTCGTAGTGCCAGGGCACGGGCGGCGAATCCGTGGCATAGGGGCGTACTACCCACAAGGTGTAGGTGTTCTTCTTATAGCCTTCCATAGTCACGTTCTGCCACACCTCACACAGCTTGCCATTAAAGTACTCCTTATGCAGATACTGTGGGGGAGACATCCACTTAGAGAAAGAAAGTGACACTGCACTGGTCATAAGCTATACTTGACCTCCTATTGGTGCAAAAGGGGCATGTGACAGCTGGAGGGGAACCCTCACCACCAGCTCCACGTACCTGAAAGCCATCCACACTGGGCACTGCCCCCTGTGGCAGAATGTGCTCCTCCTTAGTACCATTGAGCTGGAAACACTTCATGACGTTGATTTCAGTCTCAGTCGTCGCCGGCGTGATCTTATAGTTGGAGCCCCAGGGCTTCTCGGAGCCCAGCTGGTAAGTGGAAACCTGGCCTGTGGGGCAGGAGGATCACCATCAGCTTCCCAGCTTTGGCCATTTGCATTCTGAGGTACCGCTGGTTTCACATGGATACGTGCGGCTGCCACTTGGATTCCTCAGAGGCAGCAGTGCAAAGTCTCCAAGAGAACACCATTAAAGCAAAATAACCAGATGGAGGTCTTCAATTCACTCAAGTAGCAAAGATCACCAAGAACACACAGGGGGGGGGGGGATCAAAATCACACCTGAACCAGAAGGTTCCATCACCATCACAGCCACTCACCATGGTAATAGTCAATGCGACTTCTGCTCCCCTGCAGATCATACCAGCCTTCAAATGGCTCAGTGATCTCAGCGTAGGGTAGCGAAATCACACCTGGGAGAGGAAAAACACTGTTCAGTCTCACACTTGGTTCAGAACACCGCAGATTGAGAAACAGCCCCAGAATGCTCTGACGCATGCCCAGTTAAATCAGGATGGACAGCGAGACAGGTCACCTATGGACTTATGAAAAGTTTGGGCCAGACAGGTCAAATGGACTCTGATCACATACCACCAGCTATTTTGCAAAATCAGCAATTACACAAGTGGTCACGAGACAAGACCAGCGACTCAGCTGTATTTAAGAAAGAGGAAGAGAAAAAAAAAAACCCTACCAACAACAACCTCTTTCGATGTGGAAGGGGGGGATGCACAAAAGTAACAACCTTCCGATATGGAAGGAATGCCGAAATTAAGTCACAATCAGCGTTTGCTATATCCAGCTGTACCTTTCCACATACGTCCAAGTATATTTGAAACAGGACAGTCTGCAAAGAGAAGTGCGTGTGTGCGCATGCGCATAACAGTATGTAGGCACGAGCCTCACCTTTAGCGTGATAGAGGCGCCCGAAGTCCGGGAGGGCAGGCGGCGGCTCGTTCCCCCACACTGGCGAGACAGAAAGGAAACACCGTAAGGATATTATAACACGGCACGCTGCTGCCGACAGTTATCTGAAGGATTCGATTTCACCACAAACGCCACCGCGGGCCCCAGTACCCGTCTGGTTAACCAGCTTTGCAGCTCGAACTCCATCCCAGAAGCTTTTACCTGCTAAACTGCACTCTTCATTACACTGCCAAGCTCCCAAGAAATCTGGGCTGAGACCATAGATTATCTAGATGGGTGCGATGTTCAATTATTGTGGGGTAAAACCCAGGAAATCGTTAAACTTACACAAAAAGATTGTAAATGAACGTACCTGAAGCGCACATTAAAAACACGGCTATAATCCACATAGTGACCAAACACTGGGACGTGATAAAGACTAACGTTAGTTTAAAAAGACATTAAGAACACGTTTTACAATTAACGTTAGCAAATCAATGCCCTACGCTACATACATAGGCACTGTTTACTTCCCTCGCAGAACACCGGTTTAAAGGAACAAGGTGTGATTGACGGCGCCGTCCCACCAATACCGAAGCCCCATCTGTAACGTATCACACACCAAAAGGGGCGTGTCTCATAAGCGTCACGTGATGATAGAAGGCTAGAAGGTAGCTCATGTGATTCATGAAATTCATAAACTCGGTATGTATGTCAGGTCTGTTAAGTCTCGCCCATTGACCGGGAGACACCCGATTTCAACCAGGTCACACGCCACAACCTCTGTTTCTCACGGCCACCGAGGTGTCCCGTTACCCAGAATTTTTGGACGATGCGCAGCATACGGAGTGGAGTTATCCGCCTAGTTCATAGCTGTCCCGAATTATACAGAGTTAATAGCCACCTACCAGCCAGTCAGAAAATAGCATTTGTTGTTTTGTTGTTAAATCCCAAAACAAGTTACATCAAGTTACACGCCCCTTGCAAGCGTGTTATTAACATGGATGCCCGCATATGGAGTGCAGACTATGTGGGAGTGGAAGAGCAAGACCCGATGAATGCGGTAGGTAGGGCTCTAAAGTGTCACGCATTGACCGTGAGACACGAGCTTCGTCCCCAGTGTAATCTCACTCCACACTTTTGATGAAACTTGAAAGCCTTGGTGTATATATTCTGTTATTTTGAATGTGTCACTAAACCGATATTAAAATAAGTTCTGCGCATGACAAGTAAAGCACAATAATCAATAATAAAAGCAAATACAGAAATTAACAACGTTTTTCCTCCCATAAAAGTCATAACGATATTTACAATACTTGAGAAAATGAACTTGAATAGAAATGTATCAATTGGCATTGTAATGCACAAAAGCTGGATTACTGTTAAACAACGTGTGTGTATTTAACTGGTTAATTTCAAGGTTCAAGAGATTTATTCGTCACATACAGTATCTCTGAGTCGCCCTTATTTGGCTGTGCAAAAATAGAACAAAAAAGGCAAGAAGTAAAGTAGGAATAAAAAAGAAAATTACAATATATAAATACAATCTATGGAACCAAGTATATAATCTAAATATACAATCCAAATATACAATCTAAAATATAGTGCAATGGCGAGTGCAATGGCGAGGATGTATAGACTAAAGTTATTTGTGCAGTGAAGTGAACATGTGCAGTATATGTGCATTCCAGTACAAACGTACGTAGTGTACAGAAGGACCAGAATTAGTTTGAATTGAGAAGCCTTATTGCCTGGGGGAAAAAAACTCTTCCTGAGTCTCTCTGTCCTGGACATTAGGCAATGGAACCGTCTGCCCGAGTTCAGCCTGCGGAATAGACAGTTTGTGGGGTGTAAGTAGTCCTTAATTATCTTAGTACCTCTGGACCTGCAGCGTTTTTTTTTTTGTAGGTGTCCAGCAGGGAGGGCAGAGGAGATCTGACACGACGCTCGGCTGCCCTGATCACCCTCTGCACGGCTTTGCGGTCCTTTAGAGAACAGTTCCCAAACCATACTGTAATGTTCATAGTCAAGATGCTCTCCACAGCAGCTGAGTAGAAGGTTTTTAGGATCACTGGAGTGGGGGTTCTGCTCAGAACAACCTTGGGATTCTGCTCAGAAGACCTCACTTGGCACTCACATGTCAGCACTCTGGTCACCAGAGCAGGGAAGCAGCTGTACCAGCTAAGGAGATTTAGGATCACTCCAGTTGTCAACCCTCTCCACTGGAACACTGTTGATCTGGAGGAGTGAGAAGGAGCGCTGCTTCTTCTTGCTGTAGTCCACTATCAGCTCTTTAGTTTTGCTGACATTCAGACTGAGGCAGTTGGACCTACACCATACCGACAGGTTCTCCACCTCCCTCAAGTAGGCTGACTCATCGTTGTTGGTGATGAGTCCAATTACCACTGTGTCGTCCGCAAACTTCACAATGGTGTTGGAGCTTTTGGAGGCAACGCAGTCGTAGGTGTAGCGCGTGTAGAGCAGGGGGCTCAGAACACACCCTTAAGGAGCTTGAGTGCTGAGGGTGATGGTGTTTGACACACGGGGTCCCACTCTCACTGTTTGTGGTCTACCAGTGAGGAAATCTAATACCCACCTGCACAGCTGGGAGTTCAGACCCAGGTCACCCAGTTTGGTGAACAGTCTAAACGGGACGATGGTGTTGAAGGCTGAGCTGTAGTCCACAAACAGCAGTCTTACATAATTCCCATTTCTACTGTCCACATGGGTGAGGGGACACGTAATTTATAAATGCATTTTTCACAGCCAGCATGTTTATGCGGACAATGAGAGTGACAGAAGAAGTCACTGTAGCTATATATGGAATAGTGCAGTCTAATATTCGGTTACTTAATTAGATAATTAGTAACAGGGCTGGAAAGAAAACCAGGGACAAATCGCCCCTTGTGAACCGGAGTTATGACTGACTTTGAATTATTTGACGATAATCAGTGCCCCATGTGGTGTTACGTCATAATAAAGCATCTAGATGAAAATATGAGGATGATGCCATTTGCGAGGTTTGCTGCATGCTCTTCAGAATCTCTAACGGTGTTTTCTGCTGGTGCAGATACTGCTTTTAACTGGAGCAGCAATTGAAGCAGAGACGGGGTGGATGCATTAATTCACACAGACTTTTTAAACAATGTATATAAATTGTAGGACTACAGATATGACACATATAACTCGACAGACAAACAGGCATATGGTCATGAACTTTTAATTCTTGACCAACATAAACAGGACTGTCATGACTTACATAAAAATATGTAACCACTTTCTGTGATGTTCCCTAAGAACATACACTGAATACCGTGGTAGGAGTGTTTGCTGCCTCTCACACTCACGCTGGCCCTCCTTATATGACTCACTGCTTCACCTCTTCTGCCGTAAGTGCAGTGTAATGGTCATAAGCTAATATACCACTAAAATTACATTAGCCTGATCTACCTGAAATGTGGGCTGAAATCAAATGCAGTTTGCTGTTCTCATTTGTTTCATAGCATTCTGAGAGAGATATAGAGTCATATTTATTACTGTTTATGAATACACCCTTTTATCCCATTTCTGTGATTTGAACCTTTCACCTGCTGATCCAAAGTGCAGCTCCTTATTAATAAACACCTTGAAATGTGCTTTGCCCAGGCAAGCCCCGCCCCCTCGGACCTGGCCCCCATAGAGCAGATACACAGTTGGTCACACAGACACTAAGACTACAAGCGGCAGTTTTAAAAAAGCACAGTCAGTATCAACTAGCAGAGCCAGGCATCCTTTAATATAAAATAATCTCTTTGTAGCTCGGGGCCACCCTACCTATATCCATCCAGGAACGCTGGCCTGCCCCACACACCTCCCCTCATCCAGAGAACACCTTCTCAGCCTTCAGTCCATCTGAACCTGCCCCCCAGCCCCTCCCTCCACCCGCTCCTGTACTGTCTGTGCCCCCACATGGTGGTGTTACTCTTTACGGGTGGTCAGGTCAGTTCTCAGGGGCAGAGAAGCATCCACCCAGGCATTGGGGTGCTGGATCATGGTGGTCCACACATTGATCTCCTCCTCAGTGGAGTCCATCCACACCACAGGCTGTCCATAGCTTTGGCCTGGAGGGGAAAGCAGTTCTTATGCAGTAATATGTGTCATGTTTAACAGCGTTTCCCCTCTGGTCCTTGGACACCCGCAGACAGTCCACATTTTGGAAGTTTGGCAGGGAGCTGGGAGGAAGCAAAAATGTGGACCGTCTGTGGATCCCCAAGGACCGGGTTGGGAAACACTGGTGTATCATGTTTCATATTATTATTATTATTATTATTATTGTTATTATTATTGTTATTATTATACTTAACAAAGATGGATTTTTCACTGCAACAATTCAAGTTAAACAATTTCCTCCAGGATAATGGGAGTTTTTTGGTTCTGAATCCAAGTACCTCACTTAAGGGTACACCAGTAGATCTTTTGCTTGACTTGAATAAACAAAATTCAAGTTATGAGTCGACACCCTAATTTACGAAGCTACCTGCTGGCCATTACATGTGTCGTGAACAAAAATATTGGTCTAGAATGTGTGGGTACGCAAACGTCTATAACTGTGTTTACACGCTTACCGGAACCTGTGCTTAGTCTCATGCCCCCTAGCTGTCGGGAGGACAGGGAATCCTTCTCCCACAAGGTAATTTCAGCACAGGCTTCATTCAGGTCCGAGACATGGAAGCCATCGTAGACCATGGTGTGGTTGAACGTGGGGCTGACTGTGCGCTTCACCACACGGGTTTTCTGCCGGCTGGAGCGACTCTCATCTGGTAAAATATAACTGGGGAGGAAAGGGCTTGTCAGAAGTACAAGAACTTCCCGGCGTATCATACTGTGAGAGAAGAAGGCTGACCTCAAATTACATACCTTTTAATAAAAGAGTCTACAGCGCCCCCTTTGATGGGTATAAGTCCCTGCGCCTCCCTTATCCAGATGTGCAGTTCTCCTGTCACTGGCATGCCGTGACCTGATGGGGGCAGCAAAGAGTCATGTTAAAGCAGGACAAGGATTTATGCACTTGCAAATAATGACGAGAACAGTCAGGCTGCGAAACTTTAGATGGGCTTTGCACTGCTTAATGGTTATTGCATTGGTTCCCAGTGAGAGAAACCAGGCAGTGACTGGTAGCATATGGTAATCATATTATTCTTTTTTAAATTAGTTTCACTTCTCACTACAGGTTTCTTTGTCATTGCCGGGTTTTTCCTATGACCTTTTCTTTTCTGGAGCCAAACAAATGATTTTTCATTATATCGTATTTAATTATTCAAAATTTGTCTCCAGAGATGGTGACTCATGCGTCACACACACAGAGGCTCGCACACAATCAGAGGCTCGCACACACACAGACACGCACACACACAGACACGCACATCTCACTGCTCACCTTCAGATTCAGCTGGAACGAATTTCATGGACAGCATGAGGGTGCCGCGGCTGGGCACAGAGCCCTGAGACAGCTGGACCTGGAGCATGTTGTTGGGAGGGGGGAGTCCAGAGGCAGAATCAAGGGAGAGAGAAAAAAGGTAGAACCA